ATAGAATACTTCTAAGCCCTCCAAGAAAGAATGGGATGTATATACCTTATAGTAAGACGGAGTACAATAGGAGAATACCCGTTACACTTGCCTCCCTCCTGCCTCGACTGGGAAAGGCCGGCTTGCCAGGTCATAAATGCTGCATTTCACAAATTTTCGCCTTTGTAACTGCAAGTACAGTCCAGTCAAAAATATGGTTTTTAATACGAACTTCATGTACTTGAACTCTATTCCACATTGAAGCAACAGTCCAGCCTGAAATTTATTTTGTAATACTAAACATTATGGAGCCGAAATTTTACATTATATCAAAGAATTGTTTCTAAAATGACAAAAATATGACCTTATTTCAAAATTATGCCAAAATATGCTGTAAAACCAATAAAACTCTAAAATATGCATTTATATGCACAATAAAAACGACATAATTTCACTAAGAATGACTGTAAACATGCATAATTACATTTAAAAATAGGAATAAACCCTAGGAAAAAAATATGACATGTCATAGAAATCCGGGCCCTAGTTATCATTATAAATTCTTACAGCCATCATGTTTCAAGGTTATTACAACACATGTTAAAATTGCTGACCATTAGAATGCATGTATGCTGCCACTTGTGCTGTTGAATATTGCTATTGCATGCATCCAAGTTCTTTTCTGATACCAACAGTGGCTTCATCTGTGACCTCTGCTGTTGATGACTTGCTTCCGAGTTGCCGCCATGACACACTCTCAGCTTCACGCAACTCCACAGAAAGAAATCTCATGGGTTTGTCAGGATGCTGAGTGGGCAAAGCCACCAGTATACCTGTTCTTATCCATCTTCCTTCATATCTTCATTAAAAAGTTCCATTACTGCTCTCCTGAAATGTGGAGGTGCTCTGTCAAGTTGTAGTCACATTCATCTTCATGTTGCAAGAGGCTCATTTTATTTTCCAAAAAATTCCCATAGTTCCTATAATGCAAAGTAGATAAACATCTCTCGATAACATGTGGCGCAATCAGGCTACTGCCTAATGATTTTTTAATCATATTTATTTATGTTCTATGTCTGTGTTATGTGCATTTCATATTATGTTACCTAGACGTGTTCCAATGATTAATTGGAACCTTTTTTCTGATATGTGACACATTCTATATCCAATGGTTTGTGAATCTACTTCTGAACCTGTCTCTGGATCTGCTTGAATTTGAAATAAAAGAACAAGAACTCCACACCACACGTTAACTGAAAATCGTTATTGAAAATGGCACCCTGCTACCTCATGTGGATTTTGATGTCCTAAGAATGTGAATTCCTTGTGTTGGTAATACTGTTCTGGCTAATTGGAACTTCATATGTGAACAGAATGCCATGCAGATTTTGTGTAGCTGTGGTTGCAGCAGTTAACAAAATTGTATGCAGTTGGGATGATATCCCAATAAGAGGTTGTACTGTTTGCAGCAATCATCATGGTGCAGAATTATCCATACTTGAGCTTTGTTGCACTGGAGCCAGAACATCATCTGCATTCCTTCATGTGAAGGAACCAGTCTTCCTCATAGTTCTTTGTTTGTTCTCGGATGTTTTCAGATGTGGAATTCTGAAAAGTGGATATTGTTTCCGGTATTCCCCCGCAGCAACTATACCATTTCCAATGCAGATTGGACCTTTCCTGTTCCAGATACCTATAGAACATACTCCTAAAGTTTGGCCAAAATGTTGCCGAACATTCTGCTATAAAAAGATTGATTTCCTGAATATTTTCATGAAGTATCATATTTATTGATCTTCGGTGTTTGTGGGCAGATCAGAACTAGCCTGTCTTCCCAGTTGCCTGCATCTCAATACATCAAATTCATAGAGCATTCAAGATGTTTGTATTGATGCTGGTAATGTACAGTCTTAAGAAACACTGGATACAGCTCAGCATGCCTGGAAACCAATCAAGAAGTGTAATGGTTGTCTAAAATCAATTTGTGTTCCTATCTTTATGAAGTATGGAAATGATGTGGTATGTGTATGACATGAAGTACCTCTTTCGAATGATCTATCCATTCTGAGTATAGCTTTCTATGCCATAGCTCAAGCAGTTAGTCGCTGGCTTCTCACCGTGGCGGCCGGGATTCGATCCCAGGTCTGGTAAAGTGGGATTTGTGGTGGACAAAGTGGCGCTGGGGCAGGTTTTCTCCGAGTAGTTCAGTTTCCCTGCCAATCTTCATTCCACCAATTGTTCCACAATCACCCTCACCTATCATCTGGGGCTGGTACAATAGGCCAGAAGTGGCCGCAATACAATGGACTTAGTCGCACCCCACTAGCATTAAAAAAAGTGTAGCCTTCTGTAAATTCAGCTCTTTGTATAAAGTAGATCTGTTCATGTCATTACAGCTACAGATCTTCCGGCCAAGTATGTTTGGTAATACGCTTCTGGAAGTTATGGCCTTACAGAAGGAGCGGTTCCCACATCGGAAACTTCCTTGGGTCCAATCCACGCTCTCAGAAGAGGTCCTGAGGCTACAAGGGGCACAAACAGAAGGCATATTTAGGTGACTTTATGACTGTATTGTAACTACACTGTATACTAATTTGATCACTACTTAGAATTGTGTATTTTTATTATTCAGAGAAAAAATGTCAGGACCCATGACCATATTTTTGTTCCTTCATATAATTTTACAGGTTTTGAAATGCCTCCTCTTCAGTGTGGGTGGATCTGACTGCTACTGTTGTGTCAGACCCTGATTCGATTGTGTCCTGGTCTGGTCAGTTATTTTGTTGTTGGTCATTGCCAGGACAGTCATTCTTGGTTCTGGTCCTGCCTGACCCATGACAATATTTTTCTGTCTTATGACTCTGACTGGACTCTTGACTGTTGTCTTGGTTGGGTAAATTGCTGCTGGGCCTCACCAGCTCAGTCATTCTTGGTTCTGAGTCCTGCAGGACTTGTGACCATATTTTACTGTTTCACAGGTTTGGGATTCCTGCAGTGCCTCTGACTGTCACTTACAGAACAGTCCAGTCCAGTAAGTTGCTGCTGACCCTTGCCAGCACAATCATACTTGGTTTTGTACTCCGTTGAGACCCGTTACTAAATTTTCTTCATTCCAAGACCATTTGCATGTTTGGAAATTGGGTCTCCAACAAGAGGAGGTGTCGATCTTTCTGAATAGGCACCACTCTCCTGGTCCTATTGGTCCTCGTTATATAACCCAGGTGCTGATAGAAAACACCGTTTCCAGTAGTTTCTCCATCGTTGCATCTGTATCCATTTTTATGGGAACATGTTTACTGAGCTGTTGCCTAGCAGTGAATGTCTCCTCTGGCTCTGTTATTCTAGCTTTTGGCCATCATATCACAGTATTCTTGTCTCATTTGCCATCTGATAATGTCAGAAGGGATAAAATCAGTCTGGTTATCACCAATTTCTCAGATAAATTGTTTGTGTATTGTGATCATGGCAAGAGTTTTAGGCAAAGGTCTGATGAACTTCATAGAAAGACCATTATGTGTTTTTTGTGGCTTTATGTTTTGGTCTCATAACTAAACAAACCTTGTGAGAACATTATTAATTCATGTTGTCTAGGAAACATTGCTGCTCTCTGTTCACCAGAATGTATTTAATAATCTGTGCAGAGGCTTCGTGTTATTTCTGTGTACTGTACTATGCTTTCAGCAGTTTGCATGTAAAGGATTGAAATTAAAATGCATAATGGTTAATTCTTAATTATTTTTTTGTTATAATGCTCAGTTCCATGAAGTTAGTTTTTTTTTTATGGAATTAACTTGGCCAGTTTGGACAGTCATAATTCCCAGAATAAATCAAGTGTCCTTGTGTCCATCTTCATTGTGTTCTTCTGTAGCAAATGCTTCTCCGTTACTGTGATAAAGTCAACTCTCGATTATCCGGGGGGCGGTTTAACCGGTTTGCGGCTTAACCGGGGCTACTGAGGCTTTTTTGAGGCTTATATGTTGTTTAATATTCATTCACTTTTGTTTCACATGGCGAGTTGTAACACTATTTTCGCACTAGTGTGAACCGAGCTCTGCATTCTTTGGTCCCATTATGCTAACACAATGTTCTAGGGTAGGGGTGAAAGAATGCAAGGATTTGTGGAAAGTTTCAAGGACAGATACATCGCCCCAGTTAGTATCTTTGTGTCGATCTTCAATTGCATTAGCAAAATATCAGGGTGTAAAAGGAAGCATGTTGTGTTAAGTATTCAACAGAAAAAGGAAAATGCCGCGAAAAAGTAAACGACAATATTAAATCTTTTTTAAGTGTTAAGTGTGAATATTCGTAAAAAAATGTTGGATGTTGTTGAAGACTGTGTTTGAAATAACTAATTCATATTTCAGTGTAATGTAAAAAAAGTATTAAATAGGCCATGAGATGGCATAAAAATGAGGTTGAATAAATTTAAATACAGGTAGGCCTATAGTATTATGAAGGTACAGTATTACAGTACTACTTTTAATAAAATTTGTCTTAACCGGGTTTTCGATTAATCATGATTTCCATTCCCACCATTATCCCGGATAATCGAGAGTTGACTGTATTATATTTACAATTTTGTGTTGCTTCTTTTCACTCAGTATGAACCCAGTAGGCCTTTTTACCCATTGTATTTGTCCTCCTTTATTTTCAGTTTCTGCTATGAAGAATATGATTTGAAGTATCATGCTTTATAAACTGACATTTGATGTGTACTCCTGGATCAGAAACTGAAAGTGTTTACTACCCCAGTACAGGAAAAGGCTCAGTTGACATTTTTGTTGTCTTATTTTGGCTTGGAGTTTATTTAATATAGATGCTGCTATGAAAGTCTTCTCTTGTAACAGTATTTACTTTGCTGACAGGGTGTCTGCAGATGTGGATGAAGTTAATTCACTAAAGAATCGTATAGACCACTGGGAGTTACCAAATGACATTACAGATGCTCATGCACCGGCGTCACTGCTGAAGCTCTGGTATCGGGAGCTTTATGAACCCCTTATACCAGATTCTATGTATGCTGAGTGTGTGAACCATCATGCAGATCCAGAAATTGCAGTGGCACTGGTTCAGAGGCTTCCAGAACTTAACAGGCTGGTCCTGTGCTACCTCATTCGCTTTTTACAGGTCAGTAAAGTATATACTTGTATGTATAATATAAACTCCATCGTAAATGTAACACTTTATTGTAGTTCTTGTCCCCCTTCTTTTACACTACATGTTTCAGCTGCAACCGGCCATCATCAGGTGTATTTCACTTCACATAGCTGTCACACTGCAGTCAATATTAACATTTAAACTCCAGATTTCCAACTGTTCATTACTCTGTCGTCAATCGGCACCCGATATTCCAGAACTCCCCTTGTTGATTTTGTCAATTATGTTTTTAAATCTTTATTAATATTCACATGTTGATTGGTTTAAAATTTTAAATTCTTAATTTAGCTTTACTATTTAAAATTTTAATTTAGATTTAAAATCAAAATCACAGAGATACCTGCTCTATGCTTATATGTGAGGCCGAAACATGTAGTGTAAAAGAAGGGGGACAAGAACTGCAATAAAGTGTTATGTTTACGACGTAGTTTACATTATACATATAGCAGTGTGGAATGTAACAGGATGCTTAAATATAATACAGTAAAGTATATTTTTGTACAAGATGTAACTGTGATCAAATTATCAATATTTGATGGGAAGGTGTTAGAATGAACTGCAGTGAAATACTGTTACGGCATTTCATAAAATTGATACACATGCTCCTAGTTACATGCGTGAGTTAAAATAGTTAATTCCTTCTAATGTGCTTTACTAATTTAGATGGGTTTCAATTAATGATGCTCACTGACAAATCAAGGGGCAGAGATGAATTGTTGTGTGGGTTTGTGGAAGAAAAATGGGGGGGGGGGGNNNAGGGAAAATTATGTTTGATTTATGCAGTTTCACCTTCTGCAATTTTTTAGCACAACTATTGCACAAATGTTGAATACCTGTAAATAATTCTGGCCAGAACGCTGCTTCTTCATTGCATAGACTTCCAGTTCTTCAGATCTTTTATCCTTAATGTTATTTTTAGGTGATGAAATGTATGTACACAAAGATTGCTATATAGATTTCCTACTGACAGTGTCATAAAGTAACCCACATAAGAAGAAGCCTATGTACTGTAACTCCAGTCATGTAAATTAAATGTTTATTAAGACAGTCCTACATGTTTCAAGGTCATAATCAGGGTTTCTTCAGTGTTCCATCTCACATATTGAATGTTTAACATTTATATATCCATATCCAAGGATTAAGTTTTACTTAAACAACTATAAGCTGTTATGTAAGGAGGATATTTACTTTGTTGACTGGTTCCACAGCTCTGCTCTTCAGAGTGACCAGTGCACCACTGACTGTGAGGCGCATATGAATTTTGCTGATGAATCAGCATGGCTGATAACATTTGGAGTATTCTGTGACTTGGCAAAGGCTTTTGACTGTGTAAATCATGAAATTTTATTAACTAAACCAGTGAATTAAAAATTCTGTTGGATAATTAACCGCTTCATCTGCTTCCACAACAGTGTCGACGGACTTGTATGTGACTGCCTCGCAGTGAATGTTAGACTGAATGATATTGTTAACTTTGTAGACGTCTTTGTTCTTGGCCACAAGAATAGCTCGTTCACTCAGCCAGTCGTGATTCTTATAATTGGTTTGAATATTGGGAAATACTTTTTCAACCAATTCTTCTTTTGACATCACTAAATTGCAGAAGTTATGAGGCAACGAAATTCGTCCTGAGGTCAGATCAACCGGCCCCTTTCCGTTCCCAATTTCCAGCAATTGATGTGAGAATATCTCAACTGATTGATCGTTTTGCAGCTGGACACACATATGAGGGGGTACCCAAAAGAAACCGAACTTATTTTTTTTTTAACTTATTTATTCAAATTTTGAGCACAAACCTTCAATCCCCTTCAAAGTACTCTCCACTTACACTAATACACTTGTCTAGTCTTTTATTCCATTTTTCAAAACATTGTCTAAATTCATCTTTTGAGATGCTTGACAGCGCCTCCGTCGTTTTTTCCTTTCATGTGTCTTTTCACTCGAGGAAACAAAAAAAAGTCGCACGGGGCAAGGTCGGGTGAGTATGGAGGGTGAGGAACAGGGGTCATACCATTTTTGGTCAAGAATTGTCGTACAGACAGGGCTGTGTGAGCAGCATCGTCCTTGTACACCGTTTTTAAGATTTCAAGAGTTTGTGTTCCACTTTTCCCAAGCAAAAAGCAGAATTTCACCACCGCACGCTGTTCACGAAAATCAGCCATTGCAAAAATGACGATCACACAAAACAGTTGTTACTCTAAACTCTGCCGAAACTAGTCCTTACCTTCTGAAGCAATGGTAGTCGGCTTATCGACTCAGGAATGTTAGCTCTATGGGCTCATAGCGGCAAAACGCGGTACTACAAAAGCTCTGCCCACAAAAAATTAGTTCGGTGTCTTTTGGGTACCCCATCGTATTTGTAGTTAATTTTAACGTCTTTACGTGTCGCCACAAAGTAGAGTATTTCAGGCAAGCATTTATTTCGTCCGCTGGTGTTGATCGAGGAATTACAGGTAGTGTTTGCCTGAAATCTCCTGCAAGCAATATTAATGCGTTCCCAAATGGTCTGATGTTTCCACACAAATCTTGCAATGATCGATGAAGAGCCTCGAGCGATTTTTTGTGCGCCATCGTGCATTCATCCCAAACAATAAGTTTGCATTTCTGTAATACCCTTCCCATGCCTGATCCTTTGTAAATGTTGCACGTGGCAGTTTCAAAGCGGAATGAGCAGTTCTTCCACCTGGTAGCAATGTCGCAGCTATTCCGGACGACGCAAGAGCTAAGGCTATGTAATTTTGGGATCGAATTGCTGCCAGAATCAATCTAATTAGGAACATTTTACCAGTTCCTCCTGGCGCATCTAAGAAGAAGAATTCTGCAACCCCGTTATTGACAGTTTTCATTATTTGATCATAAATGCCTTTTTGCTCAAGCATTAGCTTAGGAATATTTGATTGCACATATGACAAAAGATCACCCGTGTTGTAATTTTGTTCACGACAATTCTACATTGAACGAAGCAGCAGCAGATCAATTCGGTGATGGCATTCCCAATTGATTGAGAACTTTGTTCGCAATTTCTAAGCACAAATCTTCAGTCATTATCAATGCTTCGATGCAGATTTCTGCTGTGAAATTCATGTTCAAATTGGAATTTTCCTTGCGTATTCGACGGAAAATATCTTCAGCCATGTGCGATTTATATTTCTCCCATAAGTCTGTTGGAGATGAAGGAGAGCAGGTGGTCAATATGATTGCAAACAATGCACGAATTTGATGTGGATGTGACGTGTTGCACGCGTCAGTAATACATGTAGCGTGTTTGGGTATGTCACGCTACAAATAACTTTATGCCATATGAATTATAGCGAACCTTTATTGTAATTCACTTGCACACTTTACAATTATCGTCACCTGCAGTATTAGAGTTACTGGTTACACAATCTCTCAGCCAATACTTCTGTATCTCTTGGCGTCTAGGTTCCAACCTTCTTCAGCGGCAGCTATTCCAAGGCTGACTGGGCGAATGAATTCAACCTCCTTTTATACCCTCGGCTGCTGCTATGCAAATGAGCCTTTGTCATAACTGCGGAAACGCTTTGTTTATTCCGTGATTCCTACGCAACTTGTAGGGATATATATGGAAAATAAATGGACAATGACAATGGCAACGACCCATTGTTATTGCGTTGTCTCTGTGGGAGCGCTCTGTGTATCCGTCGTAACCATGGGGATTCGATACAGTATCGCTATTGTTACTTCCTATGCAACGGTCTATTCTAGCATTTCCATAGGGGTGACTCTTCTGAATTCCAAATTCCAAATCTGTTTTTCAAAAGAAGCATGTTTTTACCTGTCACAGGTGTGACATCTATATAATAGGTATATAAAAATGCGCGCATTCGAATGCAACATTGTATCAAAATTTCAAAGCAATCGGTGAAGAACTTTCGGATATTCAGGATCCTGAACAAACGAACATTTACATTTTTATTTATATAGATTACAATTTTTTGGCATTCAAGGAACAACATTAAGTTGGTTCAGATCCTACCTAACAGATAGAAAACAAAAGATTGAAATAAAATCATCAAATTCAATCCAAAGTACCTACTCAAACTGGGTAATAATAAAACATGGAGTTCCACAGGGGTAAATTTTGGGGCCTTTGCTTTTCATAATTTATATAAATGACCTCCCTCCTACATTAAGGACCTCATCAATACCTATAATATTTGCAGATGACACTAGTGTTATAATTTCTTGTAAAAATTGGACGATTTCTGCATGTTATCAAGTAAGGTTCTTTCGCAAATGAGTGAATGGTTTTCTGCAAACAAGCTGTCCCTAAACCTAGAAAAAACAAACGTAATAAAATTTATAACAAAAAACTCACCACAATATCCATCAAACATAGGATATAATGATAAATATATAGAAGAGGGAGTAAACACAAAATTCCTTGACTTGCAAATTGATAATCATTTAAACTGGAAAAACCATATCGATCAGTTGATTCCAAAGCTAAGTAGAGAATGTTATGCAGTTAAGAGTCATGTTACTTATTAGTGACATTGACACTCTCAAACCAATCTGTTTTGCTTACTTTCACTCTTTAATGAAGTATGGAATAATTGTCTGGTTAATTCACCTGACAGTAAAAAGGTATTTACATTGCAAAAGAAAATTGTTAGAATCATGATAGGTGTCAAATCCCGTAATTCTTGTAGGGATCTATTTAAGAGACTACGGATCTTAACTTTGCCTTGTGAATAATGAAGAACATTTTCAGACAAATGCGGATGTACACAGACACAAACACTGTCTTCATAAACCAATTGCTAACCTCTCATGCTTTCAGAAAGGCACATATTATTCTGGTATCAAAATTTTTAATAACCTGCCTTCTGATCTCAAAGGTCTTATGAATGAAAAGGCACGATTTAAAATAGCACTGAAACGATACTTAAGTACACATTCATTCTACTCTGTTGATGAATACATATTGTCTAGAAAATAACTTATGTATCTTTAAATAGCCTTTTGTGTAGTCACTGTGTTTTCTTGGTTTCTCTTGTGTGAGGACTCCATTGGGACTCTACTCGTACAGTCCCATAACAGTCATAACAGACTATAGAAACCAACTGTGAAAATGAACCCTGCTAGCTGGATCATGTGGCTGCAAGTTGTAGTTTACTGTTGTTTTATAGGGTCTAACCTTCAGCAACTGTGTTGACACTTCAGTCACTTGAGCAAGATGTTTCAGTGATTTTCTAGGTGGATGTTCAAGTCTGGCTCCTATGTCATCTAACTTCTTCTCAGTAAGCCCCCTGGCACTTCTGTTTTCTTCTTGTCTATTTAGAATCCCATTGTTCTAAGCTTGTTCACCAAATTGTGAATTGTTTGTCTGCTGGGAACTCTTTCATAACGAATTTTATGTTGACACTTTCTAGCAGATCATATTTCACATTGGCATCATACAGAAATACACATTGCTGTAAAGGATATCGCATCATGACATAGCACACTGCTCACTAATTGTAACTGCATAATTATTTCAAAACTATTATATTTTTTAACTGTCTCAGAGAAGATGAAGAGAGATGAAGTGACAGTGACAGGAGTTTGGAGAAAACTGCATAATGAGGAGCTTCATAACTTGTACTCTTCTCCAAGTATAATTAGAATGATCAAGTCACGGGGGATGAGGTGGGCAGGGCATGTGGCACGAATGGGGGAGATGAGGAATGCGTACAGGATATTGGTGGGAAAGCCAGAAGGAAAGAGCCCACTAGGAAGACAAAGGTGTAGGTGGGTGGATAATATTAAAATGGATCTTACAGAGATAGGATGGGATGGTATGGATTGGATTGATCTGGCTCAGGATAGGGACCAGTTGAGGGCTCTTGTGAACACGGTAATGAACCTTTGCGTTGCATAAAATGCTGGGAAATTCTTGAGTAGCTGTAGAATTGGCAGCTCCTTCAGAAGGGCTCAGCTCCATGAGTGAGTGAGTAAGTAATTAGAGAAGATGCCCATGAATTCTAATTATAGTAAAGTAAAATTCTTGTATTTTCATCATGTGGTGCACGGGTAACATAATTTAGTTTTTTTATCAGTGCATGTAGGAGCTTGTAGTTATTATGAGTGAAACTTAATCCTTGTATATGGATATGTAATTTGTAAAGCTTAATTAACATAATCAGAATTTATGGAAAAAAGTTTATGTGATGTAGTTAAAAAATATATGTGATAGTTCCAACATAAATTTCTTTATCAGCAAATGAAGCCCAAAATACTTGGCTGATGAAAAATTGATTGCTATACTTTGGATCAATTCTTGCTGTCACAAGTTGTCAGCTGCTTTTTCTATATGCATATTACTAATTCATAATCAGTGTGAATACTAATTAAAAAGCGATTTTTGTTTTACTCTGACAATTGGAGATGTACAGTTGTATCCACAGTGTTGTTTAGTAATAATCTAACGCTGATTAGTTCTTATTTTTCAGGCTTCATTAACAGAGCTGAGTTTATTGTTACTGTTACATACAATTCTATTGCAGATTTTTGCCCGTACAGAAGTTGTCCAAGTAACCAAGATGGATGCTAGTAATCTTGCCATGGTAATGGCACCCAATTGCCTACGTTGCACGTCAGAGGATCCACGCATAATTTTTGAGAATGCTCGTAAGGAAATGGCATTTATTCGCACACTTATTCAAAGTCTAGATACAACTTTTATGGAGGGCATCTATTGAATTGTTGGCTACCATGCAGCCTCAGGATTTTTAGGTGCTGAATGATACATTGAATCACCATCATCATCATCATCATCATCATCACCACCACCACCATTATTATCAATACATAATCTAATATTTTTCATTCATCAGAGCTTGTGTGTTAAAAATTGTGTCTGGTAACCACCAGTCTCTTACCAAGCCACTTGGCTATAAGTTATTTCATATAACTTGGGTCAGTTCTGAGAACTCTGTAAAGAACTGGGAAAGAGCCTTATGCAAGTGACAGTTGTCTTTTTTGTCTTGTTTACACATGAGTTTGCTATTCACACACAATATTAGCTGCTCATGGTGTCTATTGGGCCCTTTAGAGATGTATTTTTTGAGTTCCCTAGTCACAGATCATATTCAGAAAATAATGTAATGCATAAATGATTTAATATCATAGGCCTACATTGTATGATGTAATTTCTATTTTGATGTTTTATAAAGTTGTCTTTGTAACAGGCTCCAATGAGCCCATATATAGTGCTGCCAATGTATGGCCAACAGATAGAACTGCAGTGTTTCCTAGCTGTCTTTAACAGGATGTCAAGTGTTGATGGTATAACAAGATCATATGTTAATAATTTAGTTTTATTTTTAATGTAGGCAGCCCCTAAATGGCTGTGGATCTGGATATCTTCTTTAACTTTTTCCATATTATTATCTGCAAGTTTGGTTAAATTACCATACTTAGTTGTGTAGTTTCTCATATTTTTACATGAAGATATAATTGTTTGCTACACAGATTATATGTATTGGTCTCCTTCTGTCCTCCTTATACTACTTCAGCAAATAACTGAACTTTTGTTGAGGTTTGTAATGGCTGTAGAACGAACACAAATAGTACTGTTACTATTTTGGGTTTGAGGTTCTCACAGCAGGACTACACAGAGTACTGTCTACTGGGATGTGGTGCCTAGCAGTCCTATAAATGTTAACTAACAATTTGGGGGAACATGCTACTTCCATCTTCAGGGACAAAGAATAAGCTGAGTAAGTAGTCAGCAAGAAACAAGCATGTTGGCCACTATTTGGCCTATTGTACCAGCCCTGGATGATAGATGATGAGCAGTCAGCGAAATTATAATTGGCAGGGGAAACTGAAGGACTAGAAAAAAACCTGCCACAGTGGAAAGCCGGTGACTAACCTCCTGAGCTATGGCATGGCCTAATATAGACTCTTTTACAGAATGTGGAAGGAGAAGGGATACAGGATTTGAGTTGGAAGTACATTCCTACAGAAAATTGCATCAGTTAGATGTCTGTGACAAGTTACTCTTGCTTTCATAATTTATTGGGTATTACCTTACTTTCCTGCTACTGTTAGTGGATGAGTAGACACATTTCTCAACAATGTTAACTATTTATTTTTATGTTACATTAATGCATAATGTTAACAGTTTATTTTTTATATTCTGTTAACATTTTTATGAATGTTTTTAATGTTCAAAAGATGATGACATGTTACTGGACACAATTTTTATCTGCAGTTTCAGACAGTACAGGGATATGAGCAGGTTTCAAGTTTAGCACCTCTGGACAACTGCTATTAGAATCTCATTAATCTGTTTGAACTCCAGTAATGAGCATGTAATAGTTCATATGGACATGTTTTTACATCAGATGTATTTCCCAACCTGGTACATGAAACTCTTGCTTGTATAAAATTTGTAAAACAAATATTTAAGATTTTAGCTTTCAATGCCAAAGCTTGTAATTAGTTAGGAATATTAACTTCAGACTTGTACAGTTTATAACATTTTAGGTATGAGAAAGTGAGAGGAGAATATGTCTTGTGACAATCTGGTCGGATTTTTTTTGTGCCCCCTTTAGACTGTGGTGGCCTACGGCTATTTTTTTACGATTCATTATGCTTTAAGCAACAATGATTTCATCCTTTTAAATATTTTATAATGTTTTGGCTTATTTTAATATAAATGCATAATTCTTGGTGATATATATATCACATGTTCAGATGATTTAAGTTAAAATTGTCATTTTGTCCGTATTCTCCCAGACCTGCAAGTACCATTATTAACATGGATTTTTTTATCATGTCACAGCTATATGTACATTCTGAGCTGCTCATAATGCATTTTATAAGTACTGTAAACTTTTCCTGTATAAACATAATTTTATAAAAACGTTGGAAATGATTAAGGAACAGGAAAGTGTACATCTTTTGGATAATTGCAAGATGATTTTGCTTTCTGTTTCTTGAATCTCGTCTTCATTGAAAGATATTTGTTGTTATTTATCTCAGAACACAGGACTTATGTTTTCTTCTTAGGATACTGATGCAAATTTATTTTTAAGCTTGCCATACAATGCTTGATTACTCATGATTAATCAGTAGTTTTCATTTCAAAGTACATTGTCAGCCTAACCCAGTCTTAAAATTCAGAAGGATGGTGTTATACGTAGTCTGTTCCTTGTCTTATGACATGTAGGTGAACACCAATCAGAAGAATGTGATACATCAGGGTGGGGGGAGTGGGTTGGGCCAGGTGTCTACTGATTCCAGTCAGGTAACGCAGTACGCAGCCAGACTGAAAAGTGCTGCCAAGTGATATTAGAAATTAGACTTCATCCTCTGTGTTACCGTCATGCAGTATATATAATTCTCCTGCCTTGTTCATGTACCATTTGTTAGCTTTTTTCAAACCACTCATTTTCCTGTGGCTAAACTAAACATGTCAACACTGCACTGTGCTGCACTGAACTGCTCAGGACAGAAACATGGATCTGCCAGTGCACGATTCAGATGGAAAATTTATACTAAGTATGATGCAATTAATGTAAATAAAAACTATGCCTGAAGACGGCACACATGTTCCTAAATATGCCATTCAAGACAGCAAACTGCCTGCTAGAAATAGTGTTGTGTTGACATGAATATAATAAATATTAATTATAGAACATGCGTGCAAGAAGGAAATAAATGTATGTAAAATTTGGCTGTAAGATAACGGCAAAGTTGTCCCTGTGATCAACGAATTTAAGCACTACACCATGAAGGCATGTTGGGTAGTGGATATATAGATCCGCATTTTCTTTACCTCAGCACTGGTTGGAAATGAGTGCTCAGCTTCACGCTCCGGCCGCTTTACGCCTGGGAAAAGAACCCCCAGTACCCATTGAATAGGAGTTTGTGTGGACCTCAGAGCTGGTCTGGATGATTTGGAGAAGAAAAAATTCTTGACCCTACTGACCCCTACTTGAACTCCAACCCCTCAGTCATCCAGCCTGTAGCCAGTCACTATACCAACTACACTACCCCAGCTCCTAAAATTTGGCTGTAAAAACATTAAATTCTTTGTCATTTGATGCCATAATGTGGGAAACCACTGAATGGTACAACAGAGAAGTACTGAGAACGCTTTTTAAATAAGATATGACTCCATTACAGTGTATGTGTTGTCTTCAAGCTGTAACTTAGTCCCTCATTTTCCACATTAACTGTAGTATATTCAGTTAACCCCTCAGCACCGGAGGATTAACTTCAATGTATGCAATCTGTGTAAGGAGATGGTGGGACTTCAAATTCACAAAAATGCATGTATATACTGGCAAAATTAAAATATAAAAAAAAGGTAAAGTTGTCCTTGTGCTTAACTAATTAAGCACTATGCCATGAAGGCCTATGAGGGAGTGGATGTATAGACCCACATTTTCTTGACCTCATTGCTAGTTGGAGGTATTTTAATTAAACTTTCATAAGCAAGTCCTTCGATGTATATACAGAATATGAGGATCAGTTTGTTTTTTTAAGCCTTTGATGCAGCCAAAATAGACACATGTATCCCCAGGAAAATAGCTTATGTAAATTTCATCCATTGCTAGTGATTTCTAAAGCCACAATGAAGATCTTGGTTTAGGCAACCTGTGATATTGTGAACTGCTCTGCTACATGGTGCCACATCTCTGAAGAATGTGATCTTAATATTCACAGCCATGAGAACCTCAATTCTTTCCATTGTGTCAGTTTTTCTGCATCTGCCTTTTACTTGCTGCAGTAACCCTGACACAATTGTATGCTTTATTTTGTCATGTTAATTTCTGTGTAAGATCATAAAAATCCATTCCTCAGCTCTTCTGGCTGTGTAATTCTTTTGCCAAGGATTTAATTTGCTCTGAAGAACAGTGTGATAATGATTGATGGAAAATGGGCCAGTTAATCCAGTAAATTACTGGTAATGTGAACAATGAGTGAGAGTAATAAAACATCTGATTGCATATGTAATATGCCAGTGTATTGTGGGTTGTCTGGAATACTGCCCAAAATTCATAACTGTAATAACATATTAAAACAATATTGATTAAAAACGAGTAATCAAACTTGTGGCCGTCTGTGTGTAAAATGCAGCATTGATCTTTTAGCAGTAAATGACATGGGTGCCACTGGATTTGATGCCTAGCCCTGTAGAAAAATGAGGTTGCAGGTCTAAATAAGGGACCAAAGCTGTACATGCCAGTTTTAAATATATGGCTATTGTTAAAGTCCCAGAAGTTGAGAACTTGGTGCTTGTGTTGTTTTTACAAGGCCAGCTATATAAGGATGTGTATTAACAACTGGTACTGAAAAGAGAGAGAAAGTTTCAAGAATTGATATATTATAACAGTAATGTTATGCTATATAGTACTCATCTCCAAAATTTTTTATGTGTTTTGCAATATAATATGAATTAGTCTTGATTAATGAAAATAGTATAACTCAAATTATTTTACATGCACATGATGTGCACATGATAAATTGTATCCATTTGATTATTTTTTGTGCTTCAACAGATTTATGTCTGTCTGCCTGCCTGTAGGAATCAGGTACTTTGGCAAATTTCAGAACACTGACAGATAATGATATAAATGTTTGTTTAAGTGGGGAATTGTCTTTGGTAATATGGCTGACAATGCTCAGAATGTGCAGTGATGATAAATGATTTTATGCTAATATAAGAGATGCAGTGATGCTATATCAGAGCTGTGTAAGGAACAAAGTGAATAATTTGATTTCTGTTAAAAGTAAGTTCAGTAGTGACAGTTGTCTCACACACAGAAACAAGTTTGTTCTTTATACTACTGAAGACTGTTAATTGTTGCATATACTTGCTTTACTTGCATTAATGTCACTAAAGATGCTCCTGGTAGCACATAACTACATTCAACCACATTATCCAAGCATGTATGAATATCTTAATAGCCAGGTTTTGTAGATTCTGTGTACAGCAGGTAAAAAGTAAAGTTATCCCTGTGCTTAACTAATTAAGTACTACGGTACGAAGGCGTATGGGGCATAGATGTGTAGATTCACATTTCCTTGACCTTGGCACTAGTTGGAGGTGAGCAGTCAGTTTCACACCCCTACTGCTTTATCCCCAGGGAAAGAACCCCCAGTACCCATTGGATAGGAGGTTGGGTGGACCCCAGAGCTGGTCTGGACACTGTGGAGAGGAGAAAATTCTTGACCCTATTGGGACTTTAACGCAGACCTCTCATTCATCCAGCCTGTAGCCAGTTGCTATACCGACTATGCTACCCCAGCTCCTTTCTGTGTATAGCATCAAAAACAAAATACAATAGTTTCATTATTATGATAAATTTAAGCCAGCCCATATATATATACAAGGAGAGTTCAGTTAGTAATATCAGAAGGTGGGTTACACTTGTATGTATGCAACATATGTGTCAGCAGAACAAGGAGTAGTGGACAAACCATTTGTTTCTCCACATAGCTACCAGACTAGTTGAGGCACTCATGTGGCAGTGACAACCTGTTCATTTCTAGCAGGGGAGAAATTGGGGCTCAAGGTTTGCTTCATCATGATTGATTCTTTGGGTGCTGCGGGGTTGTGCAACAGCAGTATGTGTTCACTGTTGCTGTGTGCTCCAAGGACTGAAGGAGAATAATGCCCTGTGCTTCTCCACAGCCTGCTGGGTTTGTCTTGCCCATCCAATATTCGATTTGGACCTTGCGTCCAACAATTTCTACTTCTGTGAATTGTTGAAGAAGTACCTCAAAGGAAGGCACTTCTGACAGTGAATGATATGAAAGCTTGAGTTGAACCAGTTAATGAA